CCTCCTGGAGGTGACGGCCCAGCATCCTCAGAAGGTGGACCGCCATGGATTCATCTCCCGTGAATTCACCCGGACATACATCCTCCCTTTGGACGTCGATCCTCTATCGGTCAAAGCCATCGTGACCCACGATGGCATCCTGAGCGTGGAGGTCCGGCGGACGGGGAAGGAACTGAAGTCCAAAGTCAACGAGGTGGAAGTCACCTGCCAAGGACAACCTGAGAGGAAAGAAGGAAGTTCAGGAGATCCCTCAGATCCCTAAAACGTCCTTGTGAGATGACCTAATTTTGGTCATTTTTGAGTAGGTGAGTCTGGAAGTGGTCTTTCATGGACACCAAAAGGCCATATCTTGTTGATCTCCTTGGCCTCTTCTCCTCCTCCCCAAATAATTAGGGCAGGGCTGTCCAAACTTGGGCACTTTTAAGACTTGTGGACTTCAACTCCCAGAATTCCCCAGCCAGCCTGGCTAGGGAATTCCGAGAGTTGAAGCCCACAAGTCTTAAAGTGCCCAAGTTTGGGCACCCCTGATAGGACTTTCATTCCAAGAAGCTTCTCCCACAAGGTCTTCAGAGCTACAGCTGATCTTTTCAGATCTCTTCTCTAACCCTCCTTTCATCAAAATATCATTCCCAGGATTATGGTGGAAGGCAGTCAAGGCCACTGCTCCAGTTTGAAACCTGTGTTATGGGTAAACCGAATTCCTTTTCGTTTGGCATTTTGAAGGGCTCCCAGAATTCCGACCCTTTTCCTGCCAAATGGGCTAGGCTGATGGGAGTTGTGGTCCAAAGCATTTGGAAGACCCAGTAGATTGGAGGAGGTGGCCCTCGCAACGTTGCTGGCATGAAGAAGGTCTCAAATGATTAAGCCTTGCTTTCTTTACCAAAGAATTAAATTGACTTACCTGTTGAGACGGGCTTAGATTGACAATTTTATCATAATTCCTGCCATTTTCAAATGATCGCCCCCTTTTAATTTTGGAATTCTGTGAAGTTTTATTGACTGCCCTTTCTTTTGTTCTTAGCTGCTTTTACTCATCTGTTGATGCTTAAGTGAGATTTTAAAATAAAAAAATAATAATTAAGCAAAGAACCTGCTTTCAGAACTATTGATGAATCATAACTTGGGAGAGGAATGTAAGTAAGTAAATAAATAAATGCAAATAGCTCACCACAGTGAAAAAACTCCACGTTGACCTAACTCTAGATTACTTAGCTAAACTTTTCATCCAATAAACTTTTCCCATCATATTGACAAAAAAAAAACCCAATTATTTTCCCCGTCTCTGTTAACAATGAAGTTTGATAAACTGCATAATATTTACATTATTCATCATTGATTACGTTTAGCCAATTGAGTGAATCATGAGAGTTACAGATTAGACTAGGCTAAAATTTAGCTGGCCAGCTTGCAGTTCCCTGCTTCAATTGAAGAGTTTCTGAGTTCATAGAGAAGTTTTAAGGAAGTATTATGCCCCAGCCCTTGTTACAAGCCCTGATTTAAACATTTCTAAACCATTTCAAACCATGGTTCCTTGAAGACCAACAAGCCAGAAGTCAACCAATTCAGATGTATGACGGTTTACCCTGCAAAACCTTGGTTAGCATAGCTGCCCCTGCAGAGAGAGGGGAGCACATAGGCACAGTGGTGCAACAAGTGTCAACCGGATTGTGGGTTTTGTTGGAACGATTTGGGGGTTTGACGGTGTGGGGATTTGAAGACCACTGGTGTAACATCCTTCGTCCAACTCACAGCTGTTTGTGTTTCAGTGCGATGAGAAACAGCCAGCCATAAAACCACAAGGGGGGGAAAAGAATCACATTTGAGTCAAAGCCACTGACCCACATAATTCGGAAAGCTCTTGCGATAACAACTCTGGCTGTGTGTGAAACCTGTCTGCAGTGCTGAATTCTAATTATATTTGTGTGGTTTTTTTAAAACAATATTTTTTAAAGTTAGCTCGTCCACTTTTGAACTTTCTGGACAGGGGTTGAAGTGCAACACTAATTGGAGCCCAAATGGACCCTCTCTAATCATGGGAGCAAGGACGCGGTGGCTCAGGGGCTAAGACACTGAGCTTGTCAATCGAAAGGTCGGCAGTTCGGCGGTTCGAATCCCTAGCACCGCATAACGGAGTGAGCTCCTGTGACGTGTCCCAGCTTCTGCCAAACCAGCAGTTCAAAACCAGTAGTAATGCTGCTTTGATGGGAAGATAACAGCGTTCCGTGCACTTTCGGCATTGAGTCATGCCGGCCACATGACCACGGAGACATCTTCGGACAGCACTGGCTCTTCGGCTTTCAAACGGAGATGAGTACGGCCCCCCGAGAGTCAGGAACGACTAGCACATATGTGCGAGGGGAACCTTTACCTTTTTAATCCTGGGAGCATCTTCATAAGAACGTTTCCTGCTGGCCATCAGGCACTCCAATGGGTTTTCACAAGTCTTATAAATTATTCAGGTCACCCTCTTTCCTTTTCATTCCAAGAGCAACACATTTGGTTTTCCAGATGCCACAAAATCTTGGCGGAGACAAAATTGGAGAGACAATGAAATTGGATCGGCAGGCAGTGAACTACAGGAGGCTAGAATTTGGACCTACTGCATCTGTTAGTTGAAATTCAACATGTTGTCCTTAAGAACAGCATTAGGGACAGCACTAAAATATTTGCGCCACAGGTTAATCTATCTATCTATCTATCTATCTATCTATCTATCTATCTATCTATCTATCTATCTATC